AGATCTGACCTCAGTAACTGTCTGAGGTCGTGGCCAGTCTCGAATACTAGCCACTTTCGCATCTTCCGGCCTAATTCCCTCCGCGGATACTTCATGACCCGAGTATAGAATCTTAGTGCGACCGAATTCACACTTCTCTAGGTTGATCTTATACTTGTGCTGTCGTAGGAGTGAGAGAACTGTCTCAATATGTTGTGCGTGCTCTTCGGCAGACTTACTAAAGATCAGAATGTCGTCTAGATAGACTACGACAAACTTATATAAATGGTCATGGAAGATCCGATTCATAGCGTGCTGGAATGTAACCAGCGCATTGCAAAGACCGAAAGGCATCACTACAAACTCATACAGACCATATCTAGTCTGAAAAGTTGTCTTGTGTTGGTCCTCAGGTCTTATTGCAATCTGATGATATCCGGATTTCAAGTCTATCTTCGTATAGTACTTGCATCCCTGCACTCTATCCAATAGGTCGTCTATGCGGGGTAGAGGCTCTGCGTTTTTCACCGTGATGGCATTGAGGCCCCTATAATCAATGCACATCCTCAAAGTACCCCCATTCTTTGGTACGAATAGCACAGGTGATCCGTAAGGGGAAGTACTAGGCCGAATCCATCCCTTCTCTGTCAGCTCCTTGAGTTGCTTCCGAAGTTCATCTAACTCGGTAGGGGCCATCCTATAGATCCTTCCCTTTGGGGTCTTACTCCCTGGAATGATTTATATAGCATGGACGACTTCCCTATCAACAACTCCTGTGGGCTCCTCGAACAGATCAGGGAACTTAGCAACGACACGTTCTATCTCCGGGGGTGTTTTAATGGCCTCCCCCTTCTCAGAGACATAAACAAGGTACATACCTTCCTCTTGGTTTTGCTTATAGTAATTGTTGAACGCAGATGCGCACAAGCAGCCATAGGTATCTATAATACTATTGGCCTTGAACTTAGTCATTCTGACAGTTCGGCCATCGGGCAACTTCTGTTTGAGCACCTTCTTATCCCAGTCAAACTGGGGCTTAGCAATATCGAGGTAGTACATGCCTAGCAACATGTCAAATGGCAAGTCGTTACTAACCAAGAACGAGATCTTATGGTTAAGCTCACCTCCTCCATAGGAGAAGGTACAGACTACGTCCTTGAGGTAGTCTGTGACAATCATGCGCTCTTTGTTGGCCAAAGTAGATGCTACTGGTCTACTAAGGTGTCGTACCTGGTCCTGTAGGTGCAGCCTTTCCAAACAGTCGCGACTTATGTAATTTCGCGTGGAGCCTGTGTCTATGAAGGCACCACATTTGCGGCCTCCTACATCCACTTCCACAACAAAATGTTCCCCTCTAGGACCCTTCTTTAGCGCCACCCAAGACTCGCGAGGATCCTTGTTTGACCATTCGCCTTCTAAGTCTCCTAAGGCCTCAGACACATCTAACGTACAGAGCATAGTTTGGTCTAGATACGTCTGCGGGGTAGCTAAGGAGTCATTAGCTTCGGCCTTGTCATGAAGTGAGGAGGGTATCATTCCCACTTCATCTTGAGTAGAAGCCGCTATTACTTCGACTGGCCCTACGCGTTTCCCGAGCTAGATGCCTGGGAATAAGTTGCCCCAACCTTTGGTGCAACCTTTTGCGTAACCTTCGCGTTCTAACACTTCCAATGCGTGTGTCCTTATTCACCGCAGTTGATGCAAGCGCCACGCGATCGGCGGTCACGCCACACGTCCTGGTCAAGACCTGCCTTTGCCCACTCAGCCTGTTTGGTCTGATTGGAGGCGCCCTTTCCTTGACTCCTAGGTTGACTCTTACCTCGGCCACCTGCCTTAGTCTTTACTATCGCGGCGAGGGTGCTACCCTCAACTACCTCCTCGCCGTCACACTCTGAATAGTCCACCAGGTCAGAGAACTCGTCGATTTCAGTTTAGGTCCCATCTGACTCAACCATCATCAACTTCCCCCCCTTCTTCTTCCACTCCTGGGGACTCTTCTTCTTCTTTGAGTCGTTCCCTGAGGTGGGTTGAGCATTGCCTAGTGTTGCCTCTAAGTCTAAGGCCTTCCTAGACAATGTCTCAAACGAGTGGTACTCGGTGCGTGCCTCACTGGCCAGTAAGTTCCTGATGTTCTCTGGAAGACATCTAACAAAAGTTGTTAACAGGAACTGGTCACTGTAGTTGGTGCCCGGGATGAGGATCAGGCCCTCCACGGTAGTCGTAAGCTCCCTAACTGACATGAACTTGCGTTGGTCAAGTGTGTTAATGGCATCAGTGGCCCTTTGTGCCTCCTGTGGGTTATGCCATTGAGCTTCTACCATCTCCATGAATTGGTCTAAGGTCAAAGATTGAGCCCAATCCACCATGCGTCGCCCGTACCCGGCCTTCACAACTACACCATCTAGTCACTTGGCTGCTTTACCCTCTAGGTAAGATGCCGCAGTTACCACCTCATCCTCTGGCAAGGTCCTTTTGGCCTTCACCCAAACCGGGACCATCCTCGACCATGTGTTGAGTTCCTCGTCCTTTCTCTCGCCTGAGAAGGCAAGAGGCGGTTTCATTGGGGTCTTGGGGTACCACTGACCTTGCTGTTGTCCAGATTGCTGAACAGGTTGTTGTGGTGATGTAGCAATCACCACTGGACCCGAAGAAGAAGATGCAACAGTCTGTGCTGCTGCTGCAGACGTACCACTTGGCTGTGTGCCAGCTTGTACGGCAAAGGGGCCTGACATCGCCGTTAACGGCAACGACGATTGTGCTGGTGGCCGGAATCTTGGCTTTGTCAATGCATCCAGGATCTGGTCTAAAGTGCTTTGCATGAAGTCCATCCTGCTGTCCACATGCGCATGCAGCGACAACATGTTGTCCCTCAACACTTTCAGGGGGTCAGACAAACTTGATTCGTCCAATCACTCTAACGCAGCCTTGTCAGCCTCTAACGTATCAAGTCTGGCTGCTCTACTTTTTATCTCTTTTTCTCTATCGGTTGCTTTCTTCAGATCCTCCTCTAACTGCTGGCGGAGCCTCTCGACCTGTTGGATCTCTCTAAGCTCCCGCTCTCGTGCGGTCATGGGGCTGAACTGCGAGCCTGCCATTTGACTAAAAGATCCTCTAGAACCTGTAGACCCGGAAGTGCCCGAGGAACTCGTGGAACTAGTTGGCATTCCCACACTCATCCCATTAGTCCCTGACAAAGCCGCAGAGGATGCTGTTGAGCTAGTCATGGCTGCTGCCCTAGCTGCTGTGGCAGCCTGTTCCCTAGCTGCAGCGTTCGCTGTTGCTCTCGATGCTGCGAGAGCATGGGCTCTGCGTTCGGCGCGAAGTTGTCTTAATTCTTCCTCGTCCAAGGTCCTGAACACGTGCGGTACCCTTAGTGCCTGTGCACGTGCTAATCTTCTAGTGTCGACTCTATCATCAACAGGTTCTGATCCACTCATTAGTTAGGCAGATAGTTTCTGCACTAGAATCCCCTAGTGGAATCCTACCACAACATGTATTAGACCGGCACCTAATTTTCTAACAATAGTTGTGTCCGGCGAGTATCCTACTATACCGAATCAAGTGGCATGTCTACAACATTCACACAGATTGTCTACATTGTCTAGATGCACCCTGAATGGTTCACTTACAGCAGCGTTAGTTAGAACTGGCTATGGTAGCATACAACAGTCCTAAACTAATCCGTCAGTGAGGTTAGCAGTCCATCAACCAACTAATCAAAGTACAAAAAGACAATGTAGCAGATGTATGATTGATGGGTATTGTTGTGTTTACAGTTGAGCACCAATTGGAACCTACCCTTCCCCTCAATCCAACCATCCGAACAGCATCATTGAGCATGCAGTGTCTTCGTGTGCATGTCGGCCCACCCCTGTGCCCAAGTTGTCACCGAGCAAGCCAGCCCAACCATCTTATTTACCCTCGTACGGCGACGAGCCTTCCTGTCCATGTGATCTGGCTGATCAGGAGGAATTTATAGAGTGCCCCCATCTCTTCAGGAATTATTTAACGTCGCAGTCAGGACGACAATCACAGCCAGAATCACAATGAACTCCCAACCAGAAATGTTTATAGACGGTCTGGTAAGCGTCTGTCATGGGCTGGCACACCCGGCAGGACTACTATTTGGCGCAGCAAAGTGCCTTAATGGACAGCAGCCATCGCATGCGTGACCTACTCCCATTGGGTTGGCATGATGACCATGACCCAAGTGCTTCGACCAGGGCCCTTTAGAGGCACCGCCCTTTCTCCTTCCAGTATGCTTCCTGGAAGATTGTCGTCTCTCAAGGTAGCGCGCTCACGACACCTCACCAAAAGAGAGGACTCTCAAGTTGGACTCACTTCCTCACAGTAAGAAGAGATTGAGAGAGTAGATAAGGTAAGGGAACAACGTACCTGGAGATAGCTGCCCCCAACCACAGATTTCTCACCAATTGAACCGATGTTGCATTTGATGACCGGTCATGACCTCGGTACCACCCACAACGCAATGCAGTGCCACCTTAATCCAATGCCACATCAGCATGCTCTCATCATCAATCAAGCATTCCGCTTGTCACCACGGCTAATGTGTCGTCTGTAGCCTTCGGGTGCACCCCTCTCTACCCAGGGCGTGCACCAATAGTGGCCTGACGTCACAAGTACCCACTACGAAGAAGCATCATCAACGCACCAAGTCTGTATAACGCCAGCGTGCCAAAGGTAAGTGGCGATCAAACCGTGCTCTGATACCAAATTACAAGGAACATGAGTATGGACGAAGCACATAAATCCGGAATGAAAAATCACACTGAAGTCCAAGTATTCAAAGCCAAAGTAGATAGCACATGGAACCGAGTAACCATCCCATTGAGAATGATACAGAAGAATCGTGAGTCAATGTCCATGCCCACCAGGGCAACACCAACAGCATAACCCAAATGTAGCTCTCTCTTGTGAATGGCGCCAGGCGCCCTATCTACTCTAC